AATTTTGATTCTAGAGCCAACCACAAAATGGAGAGAGAAAAAAAAAATCCCTTTGGAAATCCCTGACTTCCAGTCCAAAGAAATTTGACACTAACAGTCTCAGTTGAGTTGCTGACATCGCAAAGGACTGACTCCTCTCCATCTATCTTAAGATAAAAATCTTAAGATAAAATCTTAAGATAAAAAATCTTAAGATAAAATCACAGTTATGGGTCATTCTGAGGGTGTGTGTTGGGGGGGGATATAACTGTTAAAGTTGACTTTCTTTTAAAACCATTTGAAAAAAGGAAATGGCCCCTCTGCTTAATTTCCTAATTTACCCTGTGGAGTCAGATACTGCATGTCTGTTCTGCAAGGACATGGGAAGACTCAGAAGTAGGCCAGGTACTTTGAGTGCTGTGGAACCATCTTTCAGAAATGCTGCCCCAAGGCCTCAGTGGAGGAGGGACAGCTGAGGTCAGCACACTGCTTGACATCATATTCACAGATCTTGTGACGTGTCTATGTCCAGCAACAATTTCACTAATGTATGGTGGGGTGCATGGACTTGATTACTGGCTGTACAGTGGGTCATCTGGTGGAGTGGCTGTTAAGAGGCCCTCATGCATTGGTCACAATGAGACTGGCCTAGCTGTGCCGTGGTCTCAGAATACATTCCTGAATCTGCCAGATCCACTGTTATATATAACAAGAGGTGCACAGGAGGGAATGTCGATGGAAACGTTGATGGAATATCATAAAACCACCAGCTCTGTTGGAAGTATGCCTCAAAAGGATACAATTTAATAACTTGTGTGTGTGTTGGGGAGGAAAGGCGATATAGCTATCAAGACTTCTAGAATCATGATTTTCAAGATAATTGAGTTTTATCTTTTCTTAGGTTAGCTGGAGTAAGAACTATCCCAAGTAACCAGATGACTTCTTTACTGGCACAGCAGTGGGGGCTCCCCACAGTGCCTGGCTGGACCGCTGACTGCTGTGGATGGTATCTGTTTCATCACTGAGATGCAGCTCTTGCTTAATTGTAATTACAACAAAATAGGTACCTATCAAATATTCTTTCAGTCCTTAAACTGATTCTGTAGGACTTTTAAAGGGCAGAGTTCCAGACTGAAGCTTTAAAAATCTGTTCTATGGCATGACTTCCCTTTTAGTCTATGATGATTTACGTGAAGATAACTCTCAGGACTTAGGCTTATGTACATTCTAGTGGCAGTCAAGCCAGAGAAAGAACTAGGAAGTTTCTGAACCCCTTTCTTGGTCAAAAAAAAAAAAAAAAAAAAAAAGCTACATTAGTTTTCTGAGGTCGATGGTCTTCTGTATTTTATGGAGGCAGTGATAAAGGACTTAGCTAAGGAGCCAGTTCTCTGATTTTATTTCCAACATTAAGGTTCACATGTATTTCTGAGTAAGATAGTATGTCCTAATTTTGATGCCACTTTCCCTGGGATGACTGAGCTGGCTGAACAAGCATGCTGCAGCCCTTAAGGGATGCTGGTGCACTCTACTTACACAGTCCGTGCAGGTTTTCCAGTTCACCGGCACACCCACATTGCTGTGGGCCAGCACTCTTCTTTCTAGAGCTGGACTGGGCACCGCTAGAAAGCAGGATAGGAGGCAAGCACCACAGTCGAGCTGAGTAACCATGCCAGAGCTGTGTCCTGCTCAGCGTTGTCTCTGATCCACACACCTGGGGATCAGAGCTTCAGGTTACTTGAAAACTTTCTTATTGCATTTCCCATGTATCTTACAACACACAGTGAGCATGCACATACTGAACATGCCAAAAAAATTATTGTGAAAGATAGCTGGCAGAAAGAGAGGAAATTGAATGTCTCCAATTTCCAACTTGAAGACACTTTATTTCTGAGAAAAATGAGAAAGCATTTTCAGGACAAAGTGGCAGAAAGCATGGCAAGCAGATATATACAAGGGATCTTCAAAACACTTGCAGAAAGTTTCATACCTTTCTATTCTATTTTTCCACTAACTTTTCAAATATCTTCGTTTATGCTCAACCCCGAGCATTTATAGGGACCAGGTAATGTGTGATGTCTGATAAGTACAACATCAGAAAGTGTTGAGGGCAGGCGGTTAGGTATCATTTTATCTATCTCATTTGAGAGGGGAACATACCTTCCATATAATGTTGATAAGCCTCAGTCTTGTTTTGTATGTTTTTCTTGTTTATATTCTTTTCTTTAGAAAGCTGGAATACAATTGGGCTCTCCCCTTATATGGACTCTAAGATCTCTAAGTCCCCTTCCAGTAGGGTAGGGAATTCTCAATGAATCTTCTGTCAATTTAGAAAAGATTTTTTTTTTTTTGTAAAATTCCATAATTCACCTGCAGGTGCTCATACCTGCCTTCCAAACACTTCGGTCTTTTTGCTTTGGCTTTTCTTTTGCTGCAGTTACGCTGTTTGAATATCTTCTCTGAGGTTTTTCAGAGATGTAATTCCAAGAATGACCAGTTAAAACAGGTTAGGAGTTGGAACCTCTGGTGTCCTTAATTTACACTATTGTCTAAAGCTGATTCCAGAGAAGTGTCCTAGCACACGTTTCTACAAATATGTGTTGTAACCGAATTTGAAATAATTGACTGAAAAAGACTAAAAGGAAAGAAACCATCATAGATTAATAAAATTAATAAATTCTAACTAAAAGGAGTTCTTGATTCTCCATATACATTTTGTTAGGTTGAAAATATGAAGTTATTGATATTTGGCTGCTTTTGACCTATAGAACTAGCAATTTCGTAGCGATCAACCTAATATATTTAAGGCCATAATGTTTGGTAATGCCTATTGCTTGAATTGGGTTCTCTTTCCTAGCCCTTGGAGTGGAATAGCGAGAGGGCACTTTTTATATACTTAAATAAATCTGCATTACCTATTTATCAAACTCTCCGGCAGTGAAAATCACAATCCCCTTTACCACCAAACGTGAATTCTATAATCTGAAAATTGGGGGTGGGGAGGAGTATGGTAAACTCCAGTGACACAGAATGACCTTACTGAAAAACACAAATTCAAATATCCTCTTTTTCTCCTATAAACAGGAACAAGAACAGTATGGTGAAATGATATGGAAACACCTGATAGGCCAACAAAGGAAGTCGCAGAGGAAGGCTCCTGAGTGATAAATGAGGAAGGTCGTTCAAGTGTGTACAGTAACTGTTTTCCTAACACCCACCTAGCAAGTGAATTATGGATTACCTGCTAGGTGAATGGTGTGTGTGCAGATGCAAGGCCAGAGCTACAGTCGCCAGGATGCAAGACAAATATCCTGCATCTCATCTTTCAGTTTAATCACAAATGGGAGTCACAAAGAAGGAAGGCCCACCGGGGTGGCTCTCTACAAAAAGTGGAGTTAAAATCAAGGTTCTGAAGTTTGAGCTAAAACTTGTCTCAGAGTTGTTGGTCCTGGGGGCGGCAGCGATGTGATGGAATGCACAGTGTTAAAATGGGCCAACAGTGACTCACTAAAAGAAGGGGCATACCCTGGTGTGTTAGATTTACCCGACAACTCAGTTCTGCAGGGAAAGGACTCTAACAAAACGGGCTGCAGCGGCAGGTCTGTCCCCGGTGCTGATTGAAGCAATACTGCGCTGGCTGGGAAACTAATTCCCTAAGACCGGCGTAAATAGCTAGCCAATGTTGAAGTTATTACAGTTGTTAAAGTTATTACAGTTCAAAAGTTCAGTGAGAATAATACACGCTCCTCCTCGCAAGAGAGGACAGTGAGGAGGGTGAGAAGGGAGCGGTGTGTGAGCGGAAAAAAAAAAAAAAAAAGTGTGGACACAGAAGTGAAATCTGATCGCGTGCCAGGAAAAGCGTGTGAAGCTAGAAACCCCAGACTAACGATCGACCTTGACAGGCATGCAGGGCTGCTGAACAGGAGGCGGGCGTGCGGTCGGCAGCCAGACACAGCCCTCCCATGGAGAACTCGGTGGCCCCCTGCGTCCTCTACCCAGGGGGTGATCGCGTCCGCGGGGCCGAACCTGGGGGCACCTTTGCCCATGGGGCGCTCAGCCAGGCCGGGGCGCAGGGAGGCGCTCCCGGGACTCCGGGAGAGGGCCGCCTGCAGCAGCTGGACTCGGCCGGGGGGGAGGGCGCCGTGTCCCCGGCGCAGACACCCTGCAGTCTCAGCGCGTCCCTGTGTTTCAGCTCCGGGGACGACTCCCCGCCGCAGTCCCATGACTCCGCGGCGGAGGGCGCAGCGGCCTCCCCGTGCTCGTGTCGCAGCGGCCAGCGGGTGGTGGAAAGGCAATGGGAAGTCAGCAGCGCGGACGCAGGTTCCCCGGAGGAGCGCGCCTTGTCAGAGGAGCCCACATCCCCGGAAGAGCCCGTGTCCCCCGAGGAGCACGCGTGCCCGGAAAAGCCTACGTCCCCAGAGGAACCCGTGTCCCCCGAGGAGCGCGGGAGCCCTGAAGAGCCCGAGTCACTGGAAGATCCTGGGGAGCTCTCGTCTGAACTTTGTAGGGTACGGGACATTTACATGAAATAAACCTTGAAGTTGCAGTAATGTAGTAAATGCTCAGTGGTATCTGTTTTGCTCTTTGATCCCTACATTTAAGGAGCTCAGTCTGGTCAGAGAGACAGAACTAATAAATGAAACAAGTAGGGGACAATTAAATGATACTGACCACAAAGATAACATTAGTTCATGGACTGGAGAGAGATGTCCTGCTGGAAAAGTTGCAGCTACCTCTAACAGTGAACAGCTGCAGCTGCTGGCCCTGGACGGCCACCTGTACGCCGTGGGCGGCGAGTGCCTGCTCAGCGTGGAGCGCTACGACCCGCGCGCCGACCGCTGGGCCGCCGTGGCCCCGCTGCCCCGGGGCGCCTTCGCCGTGGCCCACGAGGCCACCACCTGCAACGGCGAGATCTACGTGTCCGGGGGCTCACTCTTCTACCGCCTGCTCAAGTACGACCCCCGGCGCGATGAGTGGCAGGAGTGCCCGTGCAGCAGCAGCCGCGAGCGCTCCGCCGACATGGTGGCCCTCGACGGCTTCATCTACCGCTTCGACCTGTGCGGGGGCCGAGGCGACGCCCAGGCAGCGGCCGGGCTGGGCGGCGGGGTCAGCGTCTTCCGCTACCACTGCCTGGCCAAGCAGTGGAGTCAGTGCGCCTCGCACCTGCGACCCCCGGGCGCCGCTGCGGGCCTGCAGCCCTTCCGCTGCGCCGCTCTGGACGGCAACATCTACTGCGTGAGCCGCGCGGGCACCTGGCGCTTCGTGCCCTCCCAGGACGGCGAGCCCAGCCAGGGCGGCAGCTTCGAGCCGGAGCTGCTCGGAGCCCCCTTGGACACCCGAGGGATGCTTTTCCCGTTTGTGCTCAATTTGCCCGAGAAGCCGGACAGAGGGGAGCAGGGCGCCGTGTAGGGCGGGCCGGGGACAACTGGGTGTCTCCCTCGGGCAGCCCCGGGACCAAAGGAGCGGCTCCAGTGGGCTGACATCTGAAATGGGATGGGGGGTGGCGGGCAAAGGGAGCGGAGGAGAGAAGGGAGAGAGTCGCGGGGGCCACTCTGGACCGTTTAAACGCTTTGAAAGTAGCCCTGAAGACAACTTTGCAATGCTGTTCTAAGGGCCGCTTTCCTCTTCTGCATTCCTTTTTGCTTCACTTTTGCTTAATGGGGTCGATGGCGCAAGATGCAGGGTGTGTGCAAATAGATTACCCTGCGGATAAGACACAGGATACCGAAGAGAGAAGGAAATGGAATCAAAAGATTAACCTTCAGGGTACAGTGGGTGGGTACCAGGGTGGGTGGGTACCAGCTGTTACTCAGGGTGTACCCTAGGTGTACTTGGGGTGCACTTCGGCTCCCGAGTGGAGAGAATCCTACAGAGTACCATTGCTTATTGCTGATTAGAAGTCCCTGCGGGAATCTCGGGGCCACCGTGCCAGAGCTGGGGCCTGAAGAAGGCCAACTCGAACTATTAGTGGAATCACCACTGAGAGGTCACACTTTTTTTTTTTTGGCTTGAGGTTTAAAATTATAACTAATATTAGCTCTAATTTAGTTAAAGAGTTCATGCCCACTGTGCACTCAAGTTTTGGTTGGCTCAGCTCCAAAAAGAGTAATTTAATAAGCTAAGATAAAATCTTTGATTACCAATATGATTTCTTCTCCAATAAGCTTTGGAAGTATTTCCTCCACCATACCACAGGTGCCGCAAGTGCGCGCGCGCGCGCGCGCACACACACACACACACACACACACACACACACACACACCCACCCACCCACCCCCGGAGAGCAGTTCCCTCTCACTGCTTGAGATGGATTCAACATTTTCAGGGTAAAAGATGTTAATAACTATGGTCACTGATATAGTGACTAAATGTTGCCAAACAGCATGTCATGAATAGGGAAAACTTACTGACAAAGGTGTTTGTTTAGTTTAAAAGGAACCTTTGACAGCTCACTATATATGCTCTACCACTTTTATATTTTAGGATGAGCTGAAAAGGAACATTTTTCTCAAAAGAAAAGTTCAAAATAATTTCTTGACATTTCTAAAAACAAACGTGCAAGCATATTAAACCCACTACTTACAGTGTTTTAAATGCGTATGATGTAATACTGATGAGGGAGTTTAGTTTTTACAAGCATTATTCTAGAAAGAAAAATGTTGCAGAGTGACAATGGGCATACTAAGATATATGACAAGAGGAAGTAACATGTGTTTTCAGCAAGTAAACTACATTTATCTAATTGTGAATTTTAAAATACCCTGATAGAATTAGCATGAGACTCATTATTTGACAGGGTCCAAGGATGAAAAACAAATCAATTGATCTTTCCTCGTTTGTTAGAACATTTTGCTTTTCAAATATGTATAGACAGGACTTACTATTTGTTAAGAGTATAGGGATGAAATACATGTTTACAAACAGAAGCAAACTGATTTGAATTCTGAATCCAATCCATTTTCTTATTATAATAGGAAAAATACACATTGGAAGTTACTGGAACATAATTAGATAAAATCATGTATACCTTAATATTATTTGCTTGTTGAGTGATGGGAATTGCCATCTCTATAGAAATCAGTGGGTAATCGGGGAATAGGTTATGCTTTGTAAAGAGTCTGTGGTTATGAAAGGTCTCAAGTTAAATATGTATAGAAATGATCAGCTTGGATCTTATGCATGAACCAGAGGAATGAAATGTATGATTTGGTTAGTGTATATTCTGGTGACTTGTATGCTTGCTTATGATTATTCATGAACCAAGGGGATATCTTGGCAACTTGGTTAATCATATTAAGAAAGAAAGCCAGACTTCATATTGCCTGACTTAATTGGCCTTTTTATAGGAGTATACTGGAGAAATGGTAGTGAAGTACTTACAGCAAAAGGAAACAAATAATGTTCTTTTTAAGAAATGTACAGTTCATATTGCACATTTTTCTCTAGAATTTTATTATTAATGCTAAATTTTTTATGTGAAATGAGACCAGGCTAATATTTTCATTTCTTGATCAAACACTATCACTGTGATTTTACTTGAGAAATCATTCCTATGATGTTTACTGTTTAAAAATAAAGTCCTGAAATTTGGCTTCCAAAGTAAATTGTTTCCATTAGAGGATATAAGAAGTGTTAGATGCCAGGTGTGGGCATTTGGAGTTCCTGTATATTATTCTGTCATTTCTTTCAGCATGGAAGGAACGAAAGCCTGTGCTAGACAGCATCACTTCCTGTGGGAACTTGCGGTGGCATCCCAGGAATCTCCCATTATCTTTTCACTAAAAAATACACAAGGAAACCTAAAGAATGAGTGGAAGGAATTAATACCAATCATTAATGGGTGTCTAGACAGTCTATTTTGAAAAAAATATAGAATATTATATATCATATTTCTAAATGATAATATAAAAAAATACTAGAGGACCTGACATGTGATGAGTACCAGTTTGTTTTGCTTTTGGGGGGCCAGTATATGGGGTGTGGAGCCATAAGGGTTTGCACTCATAAACAGAAAAGCCTCTCCCTCCAAGGTCTTTGATTTGGGGACTGGGGGTGGGGGGTGGGAAGCCATTACCAAGACTTGCTTGTAGATATCTGATGCTCCAAGGTAGGATTCTTTCATATCCAATGTGGTATTCCAAGTCTGCATCTAACACTGTTTAGGAAAACAGTTGGTGCAAAAATATTCCTGATCATCAGTTAATTTATGAAGTTAATTTATGATATCCATCCATAATTTTCATAAGATTAACCCCCCCCACACACACACACACTGACATTTCCAAATAGTTAAAAAAAAGCAGTGGTATTTTAAGAGGAAAATGTGGTGTACGTGAAAGCTTGATCTTTTGGTTGAGAAGCACTGATTTTTGTAATGTCAATCAGGATTCATTTGGAACCCAAAGGAAGAAGCCTAAGACTTCATTTTCTTTCTTTTTATTCCTTGTCTTGGGAACAACTCTCAGCTCCAGCATTGGCTCTTGGCAGCTTTACAGAGTTTGGATTTGGAACGTGTCATTTGATTTCTGAGTCTATTGTGGTGTCTCTTTCTTTTCCTTTAAGAAAATGAATGCTGTGGAAACTCTTTGGCTGCTTAGTTAAAACTCTCACCTCTATCAATTTTGCTTCATATACTTAAGTAAGAAATGAGTCATTTGTTTCATTTCTGTTAATTTCTGGTGTCACTTTAGTAATTCTGGTAGCAGCTGTTTAATCTGTTGGCCTCTTAGGTACCCCTTCCTGTGAAAGATTTTGAAATTGAATGTTTTTGAGGTTCTTTTGCCTTTTCCTAAAATTAAGATTGATTCAGGACATAATCTGTTGTAACCTCTTAGTGGAGCAAATGTAAACAAAAGTGCTCTTTTGTGTTGTCTTATTTTAGATGCTTTCTTAGCTTACAAAAATTTTTATTTTGGGATTAAAAAATCAATTTTCTTATTTTCCCCTTTTCTCTGAAATAGTATTGAGAAGATAACGTCATTTGCTAAAAATGGAAATGTGCAAATATTTTACTTACATTGAATTTATTTCAGCACCCACATCATTTACCCTTCTTCCACATCGAGGAAGAAGTCTGGACCATGTCATGTTGAAGCACCTAGCACAGAAGTTGGTGCTGGCAGGTGCTTTATACACGCTTAGTGAAGTGATTTGAATTGAATTGAAGTAAAAGACTAGCTGTGTTCTAATGTGAGATTAAAGCTCCTCCAAAGTTGTTAAAGCTCTAAATAGAACTCAAATGCTGCCATTTATTAAAGATACACTATACCTGTTTAAGGCAAAGTTCAGGCCAGCTGTTACTATACGTTAATGTGTTTTTTAATGCTTGAGTTTTAAAATCCTGGGCATAAATACTGTAAAACCTTCTATGTATGTCAATTTATGCCAAGATAAAATAAACCATGTGGAAAATGCCAATGCTCCTAAAATCTGTGCTGTGGTTTCTTTTTTCTCTCAGCAACAGAACACCAGGTGTGGAATTCCCTCAGGGGAAAGCAGGAGATTCTAGCACTGCCTTTGTGACCCAGGACTAGGGACTACTGTCCTCTGGATGACTCCTCAGTTTCCCTCCAGCTCAGAATTTCTACGTCAGGGTGTGTCTCAATGCTCACGGGTGCATCCCATGCCTCAAATTCCCTCAGGGGAAAGCAGGAGATTCTAGCACTGCCTTTGTGACCCAGGACTAGGGACTAGTGTCCTCTGGATGACTCCTCAGTTTCCCTCCAGCTCAGAATTTCTACGTCAGGGTGTCTCTCAATGCTCACGGGTGCATCCCATGCCTCAGCCCTGTCCTGTCTTTTCTTCCCTCTTCTACCCCCTGGCCAGCCAGGTCCAGCAGCTCTGGCTGCCCTCCCCTGCCTGTTGTTCTAAGAGTGTCCCTGCTGGGTGTGGTATAGTAAAGGTGGTGTGGCCTAAGGGTAGGCCAGAAGGAGGACTGGGAGGAAGACATTTATTATACTCACAGGTCCCAGTGTGGGCACCACTGGGCAGGGCCATGGGGAAAACATCAGGTGGTCAGGACGGGAGTGAGGGGCAAGCTGACGCCAGAGCCTTTATTGGGTTTCTGAGGGAAAGGCAGGGCAGGGCAGAGCAAGCAGCATAGTGTCAGCTAGTTTGAATCATTCCAGTGGCCTTTGGACATAAAGGTAGTCTCTGGTTGCCTGGCACTGGGCTGCGAGGTGATTCAGGGCAAGGGGAATATTGGCCGGTGTGTGCGAGTTAGCCAAGCCCTTTGCTGTCTCCGAGCATGGAGGGTCAGCCTCTCCCCAGCCAGCGAGCTTTGTAAGATGTCAGAACATCATAAAAGACAGAAAATAGCAGACATGCTTAGTACAACTGCCAATCACACTTCCCTTCTCCTGGAGAGGGTTGGGAGGTTCTGGTGGGAGTGTCAAGACCTCAGAGTCTTCCCTGGTGCTCCTTTTTTTCCATGAGCAACACCTCATTCCATTAAAATTCCCAAGTGCACGGGGGCTTGAGGGGAACTGACATACAGCATTTCCTCTGCCTGTCCCCCTAGCAAGTTCAGAACAAATTGAGAAATGGCCTCAGTAGTCAAGCAAACAGAGGCTCAACGGCCACATTCATTACCAGCAAAAGTGGGTGAAAGCGTGGTGTTGGATTTATCTGCCAAGTGCGCTTGTGAATACCACCCAAATAGGGTGCCTCCGAAACTGTAAGCAATAAAGTTTGCTTTCTTGAAAATTACCCAGTTTCAGGTATTTCTGTTGTAAGAACAGAGATGGACTAAGATAAGGGGTGAGGGTTGGGACTGCAGAGTCA